CTCGCAATCAGGTCCCAGAGGGAGCCTCAGCTGATCTTCATTACTGGCAGAGGATGAGTCAAAGAGCAATATTGTCATCCAGACCCCCTGCTGGAACCCACCTCATCGCTGTAGCCCATCTTCTGCTAATGCTGCCTCGGCGTGAGGCTACCTCCCCAGGTCACATGTTGCCTAAAATACCCTGTGATTCTGTACATTTGATATACAGCTCTCTGTAAGACTTTCTCCATTGTCAAGTTGAATTTAGCTTAATTACAACCCTAGGCACTTTGTGATTTTTGTTTTAAGCCAACATTTTCATTTGGATGGCATATGATTTTTGTTTCAGGTTCACTGGAGCTACCTTCTGAGAGTACAGTTCTGAGGCATTTACAATGTACTTGGCAATTTTCTATTTATTTGTGTACTTAGTCATTTGTATTGCAGCACTTCTCCTTGAGATGTCTTTTAAGTATTTTCAAGCACTTAATTCTGTTCAAATAATCTTTCATAAACATTTTGCCCCATATGAAAATTCACATTCTATCAGAAAGTTAATTAATTTCATATTGAATAGCAGAATGGTGTCATAATAAGTACTATGTGTTGAAAAGCATTCATTCTAGACCTTGACTGCATCTGAAATGGCCATTGGTTTTGAGGCTTTTAACACTGGGAACTTCCATCCATTCTGGTAAGAAAAATTTAGCAGCTGCAGATTAAAGTTTCTCGTATGAAAGTAAATTCAGAAAACTAGAATTTCTCAGGATGTCTCCTTTGACTGTTTAAATAACATTTCCCTTAAGCCCTCCTACCTATGAAAACTCTTTATTTCAGATAAAGCTGGGGCTGTGAATAAATGGAGCCTTACCTTGCCATTGAGTGGATGGGATACTCAGAGTTACCCTAAATTCATCCTGCCTCATAGTCAGATTACCATGACATAAAAAAAATGAGTTTATATTATAAAACTGTAACTCACTCATGTACATATTCTTTTCACCTTACAGTCAACATGGGGTTAATGATCTCTTGGCTGATTCAGAGTTGCAGGTGATGAGTGAGTGCTGAAACCAGGGGTGTCTTGTTTGCTAAAACATTTATTGAAGAGCAGACTCAGTGCAACATAGGTGGAAAAATATGAAAGTGAGTGGGGAAGATGAGTTTCTCCTGCCCCGTAGGTTCCAAAATGCTTTCCATTTTATGTCTGCTGTGTTATGACATTTGGAAATAAGCAGCAAATCCTGAAGTTTTTTTGCTTTCTAATCTGTTTTGTTTTGGTGGGGGCCTTGGAGGGAGGGCTTTATCTGGGGTTTTCTTTCTTTTGATTTGTGTTTCTCTTTGATAAACATAGTTGACAAGAACTTTTGGTCTTTTTTTGTTGTTGTTGTTATTATTTGCATAGATTGCAAAGGAAATTGTTGAAAAGGTTCTGCTATTGTATTTTGGGAATTATGATCTTGCCAAAGTTATTAAAGTTGGGTTATGTTGTTGCACTATGTTCTCCAGAAGGCTAGCCCTTGAAACCTGACTGAAAACTGGATGAAGAGCAAACCATTGTTGTTTTTTTTTTTGTCAGGACACAGCATCAGTGGTCTGTGATGTGCACTAGCTAGCAGCTGATTTCTGGATGAAATCTGAGATGTTATTTTGGTTTAGAAAACTCTGTTATTGGGATACTCTTTTCCCTGAAAGATTTCCTTCTTGCCTCCTCTAATAAATACTAGAGTTGTGATAATCCAAAATCTGTTTATTACCAGCTTTCGTTTCCTTTCTATAAATTGAAAGGGGTGGCAGGATGTTATTTCTGGGGAGGATGGGGCTAAGGGTATTTTAATGTGCTTCTGACTGTGGTTTACAAGAGCCTGTATGCGGTGACTCTGCAAGGCCAGTTTGCCAAATCTTTCTCAACATGGTGCTTGAGTGGCACCGATTTTGGGAGGGGGGTGGAGGCAGAAAGCCAGCAAGTCCATCTTTAGATTCACTTTCCATTGTGAAGGCCTGCGTTAACAGATTTATAGTGCTCTTCCAATAGAACAAGTTTGTGTGCAGGAAGGCAGTATGAAATGCAGGGGAAATATGGGCAGGTGTGAGTGGCGGCATTACTCCCCTGCTTGTCTGTCATCCCTTGTGCCACGGATCGTGTGTGTGCTTACAGGGAGCAAGCTGTCTCATTGCTTCTGCCTGCAGACTCCCCCTGAACAAGGGGCCCTCGTTCAGTGACTAAGGATGGACAGAACCTGTGGGACAGACTCGTTGCAAGCAGTGTGGCAAAATATGTCTGTCTTTATGGCATCTTCCTTGTTAGTGTTTATGCATTTTTTTCCTTTGGAACATATATTTTTCATGAGATTTCTTATCCTTTCTGTGTAGAAAAAGCTTTTTTTTTTGTTTCAGTCTATTTTTGATTCATTTTTATTATTCTTAAAGATAATTTTAATTGAAATATATTCGTGAGCATACCCTTGATCTGAGTGAAGATAAATATTCTGAAAAGATGAAAATTTAAATTATCTGGACTGAATGATGACTGATACTTTTTGTTATTTCTCTACCATATGTTTTTTTTACCTGTTAGTTGAAGTATAAACTGGGAAATCAGGATTGCTTTAGTAGGTCTGTGTGTGTGTGTCTGCGTGCATGTGTGTGGTGTTGGAAGATTGCTACACACCTGCAAAAAAAATGTGATTGTTTTGGAACCTGATGTTTTCTTGCATTTGCTGTTTTTAATGTGCTTTTTTAAAAAGCTAAAATTTTATAAGCTGTGATTTATTTTTATTTCTTACTGATACGAAAATATTTTTGTGAACCTTGTCTTGTACACCATGCAGATTTGCAGCAGTTGATTTACTTTAGATATTTAAAACATTCTTGTACCTATATACACCTAAAAGTATGTATTTTTTAAAGAGCAACATTGTGGTTAAAGTTGTACTGAGAGGATGAATTAGGTGATCTAGCTGCAGGCAGGAGAGAATGGGGTGGAGGAGATAAGAAACAACAGCTTTGATCAGTGCTCAGTACAAAAAAAAAAAAAAGTCAATTAAATGAGGCACTGAGGAAAAGCAAATTCAAAAGAAGATTCAGGACGTGGAGAAGAATTAAAAAACTACCTAGATTTGGTGGGCTGGAAAAGGTAGTTACATGAACCATCTATGTGTTGTATCTATAATGATTTATTAATGATATTGTTTTCACCTTTTCACATTTTAACATCTGCAATACGCAAGGTTTTGAGGGTTTTTTTTTCCCTGCCTACTTTTGTAAGTTCATGTTGTCAGAATTGTGATGTTCTTCAGCTTTTACATCTCACTAAAAAGTCAGAGTTGTGCCATGTCAGCTCTTCACCATATGCAGTTTCTTCTGTCTTGAACAAGCCCCCCCCCCGCCCCCCCCCAAAGTAATTAAATACGTGTTCAAAATTAGCTGGCATATAAGGCTTGGTAAGGAACTTGGGGTTTAAAAAAGTGCAGTTTTCCTGAACAATGCCAGTAGCAGTTTCCACTATCTAACATGTCAAAGCCTCATGTTTCTCTGTAACTGATATTAATTCAAAGCTGTTCAATGAAAATATGTCATATTCGGGGACAGAAATTATATATAAGAAGTCTCAAGAGGGTGGCTGGTAGCACATGTGAGAGTGTCCAGGCGGCTTTGGTTGGTAGAAAGCTTTTGGGCATTGAGATGGACAGCAGCAGGAGTTGTCAGGCAGCTATGGCTACATCAAAGAGGATAATTGGGCATATGAGTAATCAGAAAGCTGCTGAAGAGTACTGGTTTGGAGCAGGAAGGTGCTAGTGGTGCTAGATGCCTCAGTTCATATAAACAGGATGGTTTTCTGCACTGACGAAGGGAATAAGTCAAAATCTGGTATGCGGGAAGAAACCTGAAAGAGAGAGAGCCCCCCCAGTTTCCTAGGTTCAAAACCAGGATATGTTTGCGGAAATGTTGGGACTCTGGGGAGATAAGAGCCACCTGTTTACTAACCAGCAATTAAAACATGCATGGTAAGTGGGTAATTACTGTAAACAGTAGGATTATTCATGCTTCAGCTTGTGTGATGCTGTCACACCCAATTGTATTTGTCTCCCAGGCAGTTTGTAGTGCAGACTCTTACTGGAGAGCATGTTTTGCAGGAGCTGTGCCTTCCAGGACCAATCCCAGAGTTCATTGCTGGTTCCCTTGGTAATTTCACATCCTCTCGTCTCTTTGAATGTTGTTTACCATGCCTGCAGCAGCTACTCATAATAGCCTCTTACCAGATTCACCAGATGTGAATTCACTGCCGCTACATTATAGATTTGCTCAGTTTTCATTCAGCAGCATACTGCACACAAGTCATGTGCATGTCTAGTATGTCTAGTAACGTCTAGTATATGTCTAATAACATGTATGTTACTAGAACAAAAATTAATTGTCAACAATTTTTAATACCCTCTGACTTTTCTTGTTGTGCTGAAACCACTTCTTAAGTTTTATGAAAGTGGTATTCTAACGAGAATAGGGACTGTCTTATACAGTATTATATCTTTGACAATGTAAGGAAAGTTTGCACCTCTGATAGGGCAATAATATTTGAAAATAGCCTGGTTAATAATTTAAGTGACTTGCAAATTCAGGTGCCAACATTAAGTGATATTTGCCTCTGATTCTCAGACTACATACTGATGCTGCAGTCATGCTGAATCCTTTGGACAGGAACCAGTACACAAAAGAAAAAGACTGATTTTATTTTATTCCTTTGCAATGTCTTGAGAAAAGTTGATTAGTTTATCAAATAGCTTTTTAATTTTTCAAGGTACAATGCCTAATAGCATCAGTTTAATTTGTGAGAAATTGCCCTGTATCTTACTGGTTCTATACCTTTCCAACTAGAACAGGATAGAGGGTGATAAAAGATCATTTTCATGTCCATCTGTCATTTAGAAGGATCTAGATCTGCTCTTCTCTCCTACAGTCTGCAGGAGTGGATGAGACTTAACGTTGCTGAAAGAATTGTGCTTGTTTTTTGCTATTAACAGGCCAAACTCTGATAACAGGCGCCACAGCATCCGGGAGAGGATGTCCAGTGCCAATGAGAAAGGGAGCCTGTCCATGGAGTCCACCAAGGAGACGCGGTACTGTGCTGTCTGCAATGACTACGCTTCAGGCTACCATTACGGGGTCTGGTCGTGTGAGGGCTGCAAAGCTTTCTTCAAAAGGAGTATTCAAGGTAATAAGCTGTTCAAGTGAATCACCTTTACTCTCTACTCTTGAGGAAACTGTGAAGTTGAGATTGCAGCCTGGGCCCAGGACAAGGACAGTTACTGGGTTTTCATTAGCAGCTGCTGTGCTCTCCCATATATTTTTAGCTCTGTATTTGGTGAATGCTTCTAGCAGGTATATAATATGTTGTTATTTAGTGCCACACTAATGATTTTAGAAGCTTTTCTATGATCTCCTTGGTTTAGGTATGTCTGACCATGAAGGCAGTGAGAAATCTAATTTTAAAATTTGTATTGGATCAAGATGGCCACTATTTCAGGCTATGTATATCTCTTTTCTGTGATTACATTCTTAACCAAAGCACTTTTTTTTGAGAATTCCCTGTCAGATGAAGATTGATTCATATAAATTGATTTATTGATCTTTATTTAGTATTCTATTAGCAAGATGATTCAATCTAAATCTCAACTCCTTGAAGATGTGAGATGTCTTTTGAGAACTAATATTGAAAAGGAACGTTTTCTTGATGAAATAGCATTTGTATCAGTCAGCAAAGCAGGGCTTTGAACTACACATAAAATGATTTAGTTCATAGTCTTGTCATGACTGAAAGTACACTGTGCAAGGTGTCCAGTAGAGTAAAGGGCATCTAACACAAACAGTGTTAATTACTGAGACTGAGATATTTCTTGGTTTAAATGCCTGTCACTCTGTGGAATGGACACTTTTTTGCTTTGTTCAACATCTCTTCAACTGGGTAAGAAGTATGATTCTACTGAAAATATGGGTAGTCTTCAGTATCTAAGTCTTATTTTAGAGAAGAAAATGAAACAGATTTCTTCCCTTCCAAACAGCAAACTAGCAAAGCACTATGCTTTAGTTAGGTTTCTAAAGTTTTTTAAATCTCCAGGTGATGTATAGGCACAAAAATGTCACTCCTTTTTTGAGGTAAGCATAGTAAGGAACAGTTGTTATGTTATATCACAAGGTGTGATTATTGCCTCTTTTGTTGCATGACTACCACTGAGGTGAGTTAAATAAAACTTCTAGCAATCAGCTCAGCATTTTGCCTGCCTTAAAGAAAAAAAGTGAAAGATTGACTGTGGGGTAGACATTGATGAAATGATTGAATGTCAGTGATTAGTTAATAGCTACTTGTATTTCTTCTTTCCCAGACTCATCAAAATGATTTTTAGAAAAGAGAGTGGTTACAGTCAGAGGTCAATAATAAGCAACACTGGAGGGAGAAAGTGTGAAATGTTTTTCTCTTAACATCAGAATGATTTACTTAAACTTCTGACGTAGGGAGAACAGCTCCCTTATTAAGCGTTTTTTGTTATTTTTTCATTTTGAGTTCCCCTGAATCAGAATCATTTTTAGAATTTTGAAATTCTGTCTTTGTACTCAAACGGAACTAAGTCAGCAACAAAGAGAAAACTGAAATATTCTTAAGCAAATGTAAGAGTAATTGTACAGCACAGATCTTCAGCTCTTAACCATTATGCAAGAAGAAACAAATCTTTCATTGAGTTCCACGGTTGTATGTTAGCACTTGGGTGGTTTTGCCCAAGTTTCCATGTGGACAAATGTTATGGTCCTCCACAATGGATCTGTTATCTATTTGTGCTAATTTACATACTTACTAGTAAGTTTAGGTCTTGCTACATTTATATACTTAACGTAGTTTTTAAGTAAGTCAGCTTTAAAAATTTAAAGCTTAAGCTATCAGTGTCCTGCAAAATGCTTTTCTCGATCTTTAAGTCATGTTTGGTCTAACTTAAGCCCATTGCTTCTTGCCCTACCCTTGTGGGCATGAAGAAGGCTTATTACAACAACCTTTTACATAGTTGAAGACCGTTATCATATCTTTCCTCAGTCTCCTCTTTTTTAGACTAAACAAACCCATTTCTTTCAGTAGAGCATGCTTTCTAGACTTCTGATCCCATTTGTTAAACTCTGTATTTTCTCCAGCTGATCCACCTCTTTCGTGGTTAACAGCTATTGTAAAAAATGAGATCCACTAATATCAAGAAAATGATTCAAGAATATGAGTACTTATGAGAGAATTTTGACCATTTGATCACAGATGGTATGAAAAGTCCTCTAATGAACTTTTAAAGTCATAGATATCCCAAATAAGGGATTTTTTGAATTTCCTACTAGATACAGAAGAGATCTCTACCTCAGCAATTGTTCTTGTTGGACATGTGTCCAGTTTATGAAAATGACAGTAATTTTTAGATGGAGAATACATGAGAAAACATTACAATTTCCTTGCAGATGGTAATAATTTCCCAGCTATCTAGGAACGAATGCTACTAATATGTAGGTGTGAGTGTAGAAGAATATGTGGACTAAATATTACTACATCTGCATTATATATATGATGTGCATTCCTAAGAAAGGGACAAAAGATTCTGGGAAATCATACAGTTAAACTGTATTGAAGTACACAAGAGTTGTTTGTATAAGCAAAGTAAGGTAGAATGCAGCAGAGACTTTTGTTGCTGTTTATAGTGTGTCTTTCTTTGAATTAATGATAAACATGCTACTCTCATGCTTTGGTGTTCTCTATTTCTCAATACATGTATAGACGCAGAGATGACTGGCCATTTTTGTGCTTCTCATCAGAGATTTCACAGGAGAATTGCTACAGTGAGGTTTGATGTTCTTTATATGCTGTAGTCAAACATTCTACAGGGTTCTTAATAGGACCACAGGAAAAAGTGAATACACACATGAATAATGGACAAGCTGTATGGGGTAATCTGTTTTCTTCAGGGTGTATTTGTTATCCTCACTGATATCTGAGGTATCTATACTTGCATAAGTATATACTTAAATTTTGTGAAAACTCACATCTGTATTGGACCTTGCCCAAGGTGGAGATGGATTTTTGTCCAGGGGGGCTGGAATGTTTCTGGAAATATTTTGTGAATCTTAGATGCTGAGCTGGTTTTCTTTGCTGTCAAAGTTCAAAAGGCAACCTGAATTAGTAACCGTCTCTCAGTATGTGCATCTGCTCAATTTTGTTTAAACAATAGGTGGTTGGTGGAAAATCTTAACTGCCTTCTGAAACTGCCTATGTGAGTCCGTTCTGTTAATATATGTCTGCAAAATAATTTGGGACCTTGGTTTGAGAAAACTGTGCAGACTGATATTAATGTATAAAGTTTAATGGGAGAAAAAAAATACGACACCAGGAACACTGTGTTGCTTGGTGACAGAAGAGTGTTTTATTCCTCACCCAGCATATGTAGCCTTCAGGAGTGTATTTGGTTAACTGAGTTGAATCCAGAAGTGTAACAAGCAGTCACATCAAAGCACAGTGTGCTTGTCTACTAAAATATTTACGGATTTTAAGACCAAGAAGGGCCATTAGACCATTAAGTCTGGTCTTAATATAAACTTCATATAATGTCTGTGTACAAAGCCTGGTAACTTGATGGAGGTAAATCTTTTAGAAGATGCTCAGCCTTAATCTCTAGGCTCAAAAGCTTTCTTACAATGACTGCTTATTCTAATGATTTGTCCTCCCATCTGCTAAAAACTTACCCTTCTAATTTGAAATACTTTGGCTTTTACATCACATCCATGAACCAGACTTAGTATCTCATATCTTTCTACTGTGGGAAGTTCTTGTAACTTAAATTGTTAAAAGCAAATCACCTGGATATCTTCAGTGAATTAAAATGTTTCAATCTCCTGCTGTATATCTTTCTGTTTTCTGTGTCCTTTGTCTTTGCACCTTTTCTGGTCCCCTCACACCCATAATAGCTTCTTTAAAATTTGGATGTAAGAATTGGATGAAGTATTTCAACCTCAGCCTTACAAATGCCATTTACAAATTAAAAATCCTCTTGTGACTCACACATTCTTTTCCCCTCCTTCTAATTCTCTTGTTTTTTTGGATAGCCACCAAAGGGCATGGGATAGGAAGGAATTGTCATATCTGACAAGCATCCAACAAATGCCTACGTATGCGGGGCTGAGAACCCCCAGTGGGACCACAAGGGATTCAGAACAAATGAGAGGTGACTCCTGACACTGGAGGGTATCTTGATCGCAGAACTGTCAAATTATTTTAGAAATCCCTGTTCTATTTCCCTTCATATGCCCTTCTGATGTTTTTCAGGTGCACCCTCTCTGGGTTTTCTCACAGCTGTATACTCAGACAAAAATCTGGGATATTTCACAAATATTTAGTTAAGAATCACTAGGTGATGCAAGGCAGTACCAGCCCAGCAAGAATAGCTTGGCATCTGAGAATGGATGAACAGGTGTGCTAAGGGATTCCAGCAGCCTGCCATTAATGTCTTGATCACAGAGTTACAGTGGTCTCCCAAGTGCAGGGATTCTTGAAACTGGGAAATATTTCAGTTGTGTGACTTGAATATGGATTTTATTTAACAGTTATGCCTTCTGACCATCAAGTAGGAGAGTTTTGGCAGGAGACTTTGGGTGTTATCAATTGTTTTAACTTCACAGTGATAGAGCTGTACTTTGATGAAAGTATGTAGTTCAAACTTTGATGCTAGGAGTGGTGGTAAAACATACATACTTTCATCTGAGTTGGAGAGAATTTCACTCATAAAACATGCCCAATAAGTGGGTGTTTAGGTAATGATGCAGTGCAGCAATTGCAATATGGTCAATTTGGGATGTTTCTGAGATCTATCCTTTACCTTTCTGTTATCGTCCTCTGTTTTCATGGTATTTTTGTAATCGGTTTGATAACAGCTGCAAATGCTGCACAGATCCTGCAGCCAAGACAGAAACTCCCTAATAGAACTGCTTGTACAGTGATTCTATGAGTTGTCAGCAGAAAGAGCAAAACTACAAAACATGAACCTAAGTCTGACTAGCAGAGGCAATTACAGCAAATAAACAGGGGGCTGCAGACTGATCTCTGGTCTCAGGGTGGAAAATGTTGGAAGTTCAAAGGCTAGAAAAAGTGTATTTGGAAAGTCCACCAGGGTTTAGCTGTCGTTGGGACTGCTCTAATAG